CTCAACACTACCCAGTTCTTTTTTCATTCATTTTACCTACCAACCACAGTTACCCACCCTCCCCTCCTCCCATTTCGCCAGGCTCCCCTAACCCATCCCCAACCACTCCTCAGAAAAGGTGAGGCTTCCCATCAGAAGTCAACAAAGTCTGACTCATCAAGTTTAGGTAAGACTGAGACCCTCAACACCCATGTCAAGGCTGACCAAAGCCCTCTACCATATGGAATTGACATAAAAAAAGTCAGGTCATGAATCAGGGATAGATTCTGTTCTGCCTGCCCACAAGCAGATCTTTCTAGAAAAATATCATCCACAAACAGAGGGTCTGGTACAACCACATGCAGGACCCCCAGATATTGGTCTAAAACCCATGAGTTCCCATTCAAACAGGTGAAGGAAACTAAACTCTATTTATCTGTGTGAAAAAGGACACGTGTTTATGTCTGGGTCTGTTACAATAAAAGTTGGTACATAGCTCTTCACATGATTTCTATTCTGACAGTAAAACTTTATGGTTATTGTGTTTTCACTATATAATAAGAATTCTATTATGGAATAACAGAAACCTGCTCATTGTTGTGGGGATACATATTCATTATTATGTTTAAATTTCAGAAGAGAAATTCATGGGTTTCTTTCATGCTAAAAGGGTTGCAAAAAGTTGCTTTCTCTTCCAGATGACCTAAACTTAGAAGTTCATTTTAAAATCTATGACCCAGCATCCTTTCCATTTGTACTTACCTCTTACTGTTTCTGCAACAACAACTTGGACTTGCTCTTAAAACAAACATTTCAAAGCAATGCTCCACAGTACTTACAAGAAAATATACCTTTGAAGACTTCAGCATTCTTGTTGTCACAATATATTTTGTGGAGGGTTAGGATTACTGTTTGAGGGGGGTTGTGGCAGGGTTTCTCTGTGGCTTTGGAGGCTGTCCTGGAACAAGTTCTTGTAGACCAGGCTGGTCTCGAACTGACAGATATCCGCCCGCCTCTGCCTGCCCAGTACTGGGATTAAAGGTGTATGTCAACCACCACCTGGTTGACAGAATATTTTTTAACAAATATTGTAGATGAAATAATGTTGTGAATTGAAGTCCTTTTTGTTGCTCACAATATCTTTTCAGTATTGAGAACATGTGATTTTCCTCACACCAATATTCAGACGTCATGATTTCAAGTCAATGTTTTGCTTAGAGCAGTGATTTTTGCAACTGTTTAAGGTAAAAGCTTTAAATGACATTATGGACCTCAAGGATTTTACAATAGGAATTGTGTTACTGCTTCAGAGCACAGTTGGAATTGTGGGAAATGTCTCTCTTCTTTACTGCTACCTAATCCATTACTACACTGAACAGACATTAAAGAACACAGATTTGATTCTTGCACACATGTTCACAGCAAACATCTTGATCATTCTTTCTAAAGGATTGCTCCATTCAACTAGAGCTTTTGGGATGAAAGGTTCCATCAATCATTTTGGCTGCGAATTTCTTTTGTATATTCAAAGACTAGGCAGAAGCATGTCCATTGTCACTGCGTGCCTCTTGAGTGTTTTCCAGGCTATCACAATCAGCCCTGGGAACAGTTTTTGTTTGCGCCTTAAAGTCAAAGCTCCAAAACATATTGTTCTATTCACCTCCCTCTCATGGATAATTTACATGTCAGGAAATATGATTTTTCCTGTTTATAAGTATGCTAAGGGGAACAGCAATAGACTGATACATGAGAATGATATGAAATATTGCTCAACTGTAGGTCATGATGATGTTACAAGCTCATTATATACAGTGGTTTTTGTTCTGCCTGAAATTTTGCTTTCTGTCATCATTGTTTGGTCTAGTTGCTCCATGGTTATCACTTTGTATAGGCACAACCAACGGGTTCAACATATCCACAGCTCCAGTGTTTCCTTCAGAACATCTCCAGAGAACAGAGCCACCTACCGCATACTGGCCTTTGTGTTAACCTTTATAGGTTTTCATTCCCTCTCTTCCATCTTGCAAGGTTGCAATGCTCTCACACAAAACCCTCATTGGTTGCTATTGAACATTACTGCAATCATTTCAATATCTTTTCCTACTTTGGGACCCTACTTCATGAGCCATGACTCCACATTTCAAAGGTTGTGCTTTCCATGACTAAGGAAACTCAAAATCCCATAGTGCTATCATAGCTATCATGATTGTATGGTCTCTTTCCCTTAGTTCCTAAATATAAGTTTTTCTTTTTATATAAAACATAAACATAAAACTAATGTTATTGTCTTTTGTCTATCTAAGGGAAGCTGTACTTTGTGTTTGGGTTTTATGTTTTTGAAACTACTACCTATAATGTCATAGCAGAGGTGAATGAAAATGATTTTTCTTTTGTGAGAAAATAGTGCTGGTTTCCCAAATTGTATATCCACTTTCTTTCAGTAAATTGAATAACTTGGACCTAAATAAATTAATGTATGTTCTGGACATTGTGTTTCCAAGTAACATAGTCAATGGAGATCTTTTCCATAAGGAAATACAATAAATATTGTGCATCTTTTGTGTGATAAGTTTTAAAGGTATGTATCATATATATTTTTTTATTTTCACACAATTTCTTTACTATCCTTTGATGAAAGTCATGATGTCACCCCTGGAAAGGAAGCACAAATATTTTGTGAATGGTGCTACTTCCAGTAAGCTGTTCAAAGCAGAAACAGGCACACACTGCTAATCACTGAACAATATCCCTGGAATCCAATTGTGGAGAGGGAGAAGGGAAGAACAAAGAAGCCAAGATGGTGCTGCAGAAACCCTCAGAAATAGTTGACATGGCCTAGTGAGAGCATGGAGACCCTAGTCATAAAGCTGTGGAAACAGCATTGGACCAAACCAAGCCCTCTGAATGTGGGTGCCAGCTAGGAGGCCAAGACACTCTATGGGACCTCTAACGGTGAAATCAGTGTTTATTCCTAGAGCACAAATGGACTTTGTGAGCCCATTCCCTATGGAGGGATACTATTGCAGCCCAAATACAGCAAGGAGGCCCTAGGCCCCTCCACACATGATATAACAGACTTTGAAGGTCCCTGGTGGAGGGCCTTACTATCCCTGGGGAGGAATTTGGGAATGGGTTGGGGGGTTTGTTGAGGAACTTGGGAGGATGGGAGGGTGAGGAAATGGGGTGATAGATATGTAAATATGAGTAGTAATTAAAGAATGTAAATAAAAAATCTAAAAAGATATAAAAATATTTCAAAGAACTTAAGAAAGTGGGAAACATATTATTAAATGATGACATTAAAAACCTATAAAACCATATAAGGAAAACATAATGGACAGGAAAGATCAGACATCTCACTTGTGCCAGGACATGAATGGTTAGATCTTTTTAATTTTTTTAGTTAAAAGTCCTAGTTACAATGGAATTAACAAACTAATCATAGAATGTGTTAAGTAAAGCTCATGGGGAGCTGGGCAGATTCCATGACACGCCAGCGTGACCAATGTGGAGGGACAAACATGCCAGGCAGACAGAACATAAGTGAGCAGTTAAATTAGAAAGGGGAGGGAGGGGGAGGAAAGAGAAAAGAGACACAGAGACAGAGAGAAGACAGAATGTAGGAGCCCATAAGTGACTTGTTTTCCAGAAAAGAAACTGAAATGGGTCAATATTGGATTACGGTCTCTTTATTTCCAAGCACAGCCAGGTGAAACACAGGCCAGAGCTAGGTTAAGAACCCAGCCAGCGCAGCCAGAACAAAGAGAGCGCGGTCCCCCCGTGCAGTCCTTTAAGAAGCCCCTCTTACGTCATCCCGGCTTTCCTTCACCCCGCCCTTATCGGCGAGTCCCCAGGTCCACCTAGTACCTGCCCCAGGACTATTGGGCGGGGCTAGGGTTACTCCCTTCAATTCCCCTTTTAGTCTAAGAGAGGATTAAAACTTAATAGTGTAAAATATCCAAAACTAACAATCATAAGGGTGGAATACAAGAATATACAATAATCTGCTATGATACATCCTATGTCTATTCTAGCTAAGTCTTAAAGTCATGTGGAAAAAGTGTCTAACTTGAACACCTTCTTCCAATCCCAACTCTAAACAATAAGAAGGTCATTCTTAACTAGGCTTACACTACCCTAGTACACAATAATGGGGAACGGGGGCGTAGCATCTTCTAAGTTACTTCCTGT